AGCAAAAGTTCTGTTATGTGAATGAGAGTCCTCTTGCTGCTTGCTACAGGAAATTATTAAATAAATGTAAATGTTCTTTACAAAAGGAAAATCTAAGCCTAGTGTAGCACTCTCCTTTAGAGATACATGGATCTCTGTGAGTCCAAGGCTAGCCAGGTCCACATAGACAATGCCTGGCCAGTCTAGGCTGTATAGTGAGTCCTGTTCCCAAATAAATACATACATACATAAATATATAAACAAACAAACAAACAGAAAAATGAATGTCCCTTTTCTGGGTCTTCCCATGCAACAAACACACATCTCAACACAAAGGGATAAGACATAGTTTATCCTGGAATCACATGAGTGAACATGGCCCAGGAACATGGATTCAGGTTCCTCAAACGTCATATTTCAATTAGGTAACAGTTGCAGAAAACTTTTATAGTTACAGAACAAAAGGAAGTTATAAATCAAGGCATTCTTCAAATGTTTTAGTGGGAACATCAGGTAGGCAAATTACAGCACAGAAAAATAATCTGTTACAGGTTTCAGATATTATCTAATAGCATTCTTAGCTTTTAGTGGAATAAGAGACCTGTTAATCCATTCCAAAAGCATTTACCTGAAAAATCAAAGGATATTAGATCAGACACTGAGAGCTAAAGATAGCAGAAGATAATCTGGCAACATTCCAACCCTCCATAATCAGTTTTAATCAGCCTTGTAGAACACAGGTGTGACTTCTCTTTTCCCCCAGAAAACTTCAGTTCACAATGAAATAGCTCAAAATAGTGTCTAAGTAGAAGAGGTATATTTAAGGGTGGTATATTCTAGGACTCTTCACCTGGAAGCCATAAGTGTTATGAGTAAATTAATCCAGATGTCTACACCATCCCCTTCAAAAGTAGAACCCCATACCCCACATCTTAACTGTGTTTCTTTTCCCTGGCCCACTCACTAGCCTTCACACATATATCAGCACTCTCTAGCACCACCAATTATCACCCAGTTCACAGGATTCCTTCAGAGCAGTCACACAAATTGCCTTTGTGGCAACTCTCACCTTATTTTATTCAACAATCTTCCTTTATCACTTGAACATCATCGTTAACACCTGTTGATTTGAGTTTCTCCTTGTTCAAAGATAGTATACTCAGCATGTATTATTAACCAAGCAGGAGGATATGGTGCTGAAAGACCACAAAAATAGATGCAGACTTTGCCTTTGTGATGCTTACAATCTAATGTGGAGAAATTAGCCAAGGAGTAAATGAGTCTGTGCTTGCAAGGTTAAGGGACTTGGAACTCATACCAAGGGCCTTCTACCCTGATTTGGAAATTATCAGAATAATGAGAACGAATTAGCTACATGAAGAGTGAGGAAGCACAGGGTATTGAGCAGAAGGAAAAGCCTGAAAACCATGAGGTAGGAGGCCCATGGCTACACAGAGTCTGGAAAGGAAGCCAGTGTGGCTGACAGCTAGAGAATAAAAGGAATGAGTCTGTGTTTTATCTTGTCTTCGAGTCACAGTGGTGAAAGACTAGATCATAAATTTAGTCTTAAACAGGTTACATGCAAGTGCCTTTGACGTGTGTCAGACAGGCAGTTAATACATAGGTCTAGAGTCATCCCTTCAAAGTTTCTGATTTTTCCCCCCTCTGGGTATATTTGCTGGTGACTGGAGACATTTTGTTGCTGTTGCTGCTGCTGCTGCTGCTGTTGCTGCTGCTGTTGCTGCTGCTTTTCCTGCTATGGCAGAGTATGAGGTGCTGCTGGCATATATTGGGAGAGGGAGAGATTGCCAAAAATGCTACAAGGCTCAGGACAACCTCGCCTGCACAGGAAAGAATTTTCTAACATAAAACGTCAATAGCACTCAAAATGAGAAATTCTTGTCTTCAGATATTTGAAACTCAATGCTTTTGGCATTGATAAGATTGCATAGAGGAAGACTGAATGTAAGATACAGGAAGTATTTGAGGAATGTTATCACAAACATGGCTGGGTGACCAGCATGAAAGAGTAAATAAGAGCAGTCAGAGAAGGACGGAAAAAAGTAAGGAGACTCAAAAGCCAACATTTGTGGGTTGGGGGTTAGTAGAATTCTGTGAAAATTCTGTCAAGAAGCCAGAGGACGGACAGAGAAACAGTTTTGTTGTTAAGAACACTTGCTGGTTTTGCAGAAGACTAGAGTTCAGTTCTCAGTATCTTCATCAGACAGCTCAAAACTGGTTGTAACTCTGGCTCCAGAGAATCCAAAGCCCTCTTCTGGCCTATAGGGGCACTGCATACACACACACACACACACACACACACACACACACACACACACACAAACAAATGATTGGATTTTTGTTTAAAAAAAAAAAGGAGATGATGGGCTGAAAAGTGTCCATTGCCTTCAAAGAGGTGAATGTCATTGGAGGTTTGGTAACGGGATGCTAATGAAAGACACACTACTCTTCTGGTGGGTGGAAAATTATTGGGAGGCATCAAAATAGAAGAGGTTCCTGTAGGCAAGCTGGGTTTTTGTTTTGGTTTAGTTTTAGTTCTTTGTTTGATTTTAGTTTAGTATTGGGGAGAGGAGAAAGAATGGCCTGAGTAAGAAACTGACATTCAGAATACTACATGGGGGTTGGAGAGATAGCTCAGTGGGAAAAGCACTTTTCATGCACATGTGAGGACCTAATTTTAAAAAGCTACATTTAAAAGAGCTGAGGATAGTCATGAGCCCCTGCCATCCTAACTCTAGGGAGGGAGAGACAAGGTATCTCTGGGGTTCCAGTCTAGTCAAACACCATCTCAAAATATAAGAGAGAAAATTCATGACTTCAGCCTCTGACTTTCACAGACATGTGTGACAGACATGTGTAGGTGGACACATACACACATTTTATTTAGGAAATTCAAACATAAATGAAATAAGCAGGTCGTTATAATGGATATCTCTGGTATCCTGACTTATATGGATTGTATTTGTTTCTCTAAAAAGTAGGTTTTTGTCCTAAGAGAGGTAACTAAGCTGGATTCATACTCTAAGCTCCGTCCGCCCAAATCAGCAAGAACCAAGGTCTCCACTCAGTTCCTTGGACTTCTTGCTCATGTCCAGTCAATGGCTGGGAATTTTTTTACCCAGACTTGAGAGTCAATTCTCTCTGAAGTTTCCTCCCTTCAGATTTCACTCTTCACTGTCCAGATGTTCCTTCTACTGCCAACACTGTTCTCAGGCACCTCAACCTGTAAGTCTGTAACTTTCTGTTGCTCCAAGCTGTTTGAAGATTGGACTGCCCTCAGGCAAAAAGCTGCAAAGCCGCATATTTCAAAGAATAGTTGCTGCTTTCAAAGGCAAATGCTCCTACAGTTTCTGACACCATTTGGTCAATGCCATTGCTGCAAACCCACAAACACATATTTTAAATATGACAGTAAAATAAATTGTTTATAAATGAATGATTTTATAATAGTTGTTTGGAACAAGGGTACTCTGTATCACTACCAGAAGCCAGGAATCTTGTTTCACTTCTAGGATAATGAAAACTTGAGTATATAAATTTTATGGTTATCTATTAGGGTGAAAAGAGAGAGAAGAAATCCCTAAATCCCACATGTTTTCTCTCCCCTAATCCTAAAGCAGAGATTCATGTCCATGTTCTTAGGGTCTAAATGTTAAAGACTCTAAATCAGGTGATAAGATATTAAATTGAGTGTATGCTATTATCTTACATTTACAACTGGACCCTCATAGTAGATTATTGCAAGATTATTTGATCACACTGTGAACCCAGAGATTATGTTATTTACTGGGGAAGAAAACTGTTTCTAGTTGTAGTGTGGCTCAGCTCTTAGCACACACCTTTAAGCCCTCTGACTGGAATACAGACACTCGCTACATATACACCTTTAATCCCAAACAATGAAGGTAAAGTTAATTTGTAGAAGGAAGTACCTATATTTGAAAGTGATGGACAAAGTGACAAATCAGAGAAAGACTTGACAGAATAGGATATGCCCAACTCTCATGAGAAGAGGAGAAAAGGGAAGCTATTTAAGGGAATAGTGCAGAGAGAGAGGAAGGAGGTAGTTTTACCAGGACAGTTGTACAGAGACAGGTTGCAGAGATTGAACAAGCTACACATAGGTGGAGACAGAATGAGCCAGAGAATGAGAAGGCGATAGAAGATTAGAATAGATTGCCTGAGTTAGTTTGAGGCCAAGTGGAGCAAAAAGAAGAAGTCGAGAGAGAAGCCAGATTGAGTCAGTTAGGTTGGAGAGGAGTTTGAGCAAGAACAGTTGAGTTGAACCAGCCAACCAGAGTTCAGAAAGAGCTAGAGATCAGCTTATTCAACATTAAGTCTCAGAGAATGGAGACATTCTAGACCTAGATTAGACTGTATGGAGGCTAGAAGATTCTAGGAGTAGGCCTGGGATAACAGCCAAGACAATTACGTGCAGTGAATAAAAAATACATTTACAGTAGACTGGAAGACTAGGTTTAAATTTGGTATTGTTAGACTCCTGTCCCACAGAGAAAAGCATCTTATACTAAGCACCCACCCCTTCTTCCCATCCCCAGCTACATCTCCCATTTCAGGTTCCTGGTGCATACGTGTCCATACTTTCCAACTTTCATGTCCACATTGTAGTCCTAGCCATGTGGCTTGTACTTTGGAGCACATGCCTGGAATACAGACCCACACAGTTGCTAAGGCACTCTTGGGGCTAGTGAGTCTGGAGATTCTAGTACCAGATCTAAAGAAAAGAATAGAAGATTCTGTCTCTAGAGAAGACTGTTCTAGATAGGCAAGCCTTTGACCCAGTGCTCTTCTGGTCCTATGGAGAGAAGCAATTGAAGGAAAGATACCAGGACCTTTCAGAGGTTTGAAATAAAATCCATCTTCCTTGGGGCTAATGGCAAAACTCAGCAATGCAATTGATGCCAGCACTCATGGCCTTTGTTCTGTTTCTACGTCAACTACCTGGTTTCTCTATGTGTACACACTTTTTTTTTTCCTAGTGGGCTGTTTATCACCATTCATGACAAAGGCCACATTGCAACAATGCTGAACTCTTGGCCAGAGGACAATATTAAGGTATGATCTTATTTTCATTGCTATTGCCCTGCTGCTGGAGGGATCCTTGCCATCTGTGTTGGTGTTAACTCTACCTATGAAATGTGTTATTATGGCATTGAAGGCAGGATACTTCCCCCATTACCTAGGCCTTGATAACAGACTTTCTGTAGTCCCCCACAGATGCATCATAGAAAAGAGATCTGCACTAACTACATATATAGGTAAACTTTCTAATATTAGTCTAAAGAAATGTACAGTATTCAGTCAAGTACCTGCCAAATGAATATCCTGTGCCAGTTTCCTTGGGGATGTAGGCAGAAATCCACCATCGACTTCTTCTGGAGTAGCAAACATTTCATAATGAAAACAGGACAGTAGCACAGCAGACTGGCCAGGTGGAACACGATCAGAGCTAAGCTGTAGGTAATCACAGAGATAGGACTTTCATCCCAGAGAACTCTAGGTTGACTTCATGGTGAAATGACATGGGAACCAGGCCTTAGATTGATGATCTTGAAGATATAGGTGAGGACATTCTGCATGAAGAGAAGGGTTTATGGTGAGCAGACATGAGTAGTTGTGCCCTGAGTAGCACAGCAAAGAGAGAATATGTGCAGGGTGACAAAGTGAAGCTGCCACTGCTTCCTGAATATCACATCTCCTCAAAAAAATTAAGGGAGAAAAAAGATGAGATTATAATATGGAATGCAAACTGTTTGGTGCTCCATATGGAGGACTTTGAGGTAATCTGGCATCTGAGCCAATTAGCTTTGGAATTATGGAAGCAACATGAGTGTAGCTGATAGCTCCTTGACGAAGGAATTTCCAGCCCAGGACCCAAAAGGTGTTGGAGTTAAACACAGTGTAACTCTGGGGCCCACTGCTCACCTCACCCTGGCTCCTCTGGAAGACTATGGGTCATCACTGCTTCATTTGTAGGGATCCTCTCCCTCCTCCCGTGCTAGTTCCCTGAACCGCTCATTCTTCACCAAAGGGTACCAAGTAGAGCTTCTTTCTACTGGCCTGTGTTGATTTTCTGCCCATAGCAGGCTCTGGGTAGGGAGTGTGAGCATTTAGAACAAGAGTAGAAAGGGGTTAGGACCTTGGCTTTCTGCAGCCAGGTCTGAGCTGCAGCCAAAGTTCAGCACTGGCCACGGTGAGTGATTCATCCTCACATCTCCATCTGGGTGTGACTTTGTCCTGTGCTGATCTGCCTGGACTCCAGTAGTATGCAAGGCCTTGGCCTTGAAAGTTTTGGCCACTGTCCCAGGGAAACATGTTTCCAGGGTGTGTCTAGAATGAAACTATAATAAAATATTGAGGACATTAGGGGAGCCAGCTCGTTTATTGGAGAGTTAACTTTAGGCTAACCTGAGTGGGCACGATGCTGAGGTCCAGCATACTAATCTTTTCCACATGCCTGGACAGCTCAACCATGGAGAAACCTCATGCATAGTAGATCCTTAGTATATGCTTGCTGAGGTGAATAAACTCAGTCAGCAGATACTTTAAGCATCTTCCATGTACTAGGCACTGTGGCAGGAATAGAGGTATATACATACAGTACTTTCGGGAAAATTATGAGCAATTAGAACACCTAATGTAAATTTCTCTTGCTCAACGGGAAGTAAAATGGTACCCTTTCCTCCAGGCTGGCACAGGGATCAAACCTCAGGTTCCAGTTGGTTCCTTGTTGGGGAACAATATGCACAATTATCATCAGGTCCTCCTACAAGAATTTCAAAATGAAAAACAAAGAGGCTTTGTCTCTAGATTCTTCATGTCATGCTTGAAAACCCAGAATGTAAACTCGAGATAGAACCATGGGAGTTAAGTAGCTATTGACTTCAGTAAACACATAGTGAAACACATCTGAATACTGAATACTAGCTAGCAGAGAGGCAGTGACAGAGATTAAATCAGGAGCTTTATGGTCATTCTAGAGGAAGAGTATCTCAAGTGGACTCCAGATAGACATCCAGACATCAAAGAAGGCTGTAAGATACATGAGCTGATCTAGCCTGCTGAGCGGCATCTAACTCAGTTGCATTTGTCTGCCCTTCAGAAAGCATCTCCTCTCAGGGAGTTCCCTGGACCTCTGTGATACAGATGTGCAGCACTAAATTCAAGGAACTCAGGTTAGATAGGCTTAGCTGGAAACAAGGGCAGAATGCCATGCCAAAGAGAGGAACTTACAGAGCAAACTGCAGACAGGACATAAGCTGCCCAGCCTCCCTCCTCATGAAGCTCCAAAGGGGACAACATTCACCCTTTATTCCTGTCTCACTTTAGAGAGATTCTGGTGACCATATACAGAAAACATCCCTGACTTTACAAACAGACACATAAAGGGTTCTGATCACAAATCTTCCCCTTGCCTGTTATGTGTGCAAACAGCCTTTCTGAGCTTTGCATTCCTGCTATGGATTACCCATAACAGTGTCTGTGGACACTGAAGAGCACACAAATGAACATTGCCCTTATAGAAGGTGTTGGAAGCCGTTATACCGCCTGTAGCTATGCAGGACCAAAGGGCAGCCAAGGAAACAGAAGTTTCTTCTGGGAATCAGAGGCCACAAGTGGGTAGTCACATGCCTTGTACCCAGATATGCTTGGTTTGGCCCTTGGTGGCTGTTAAAATTTTTGAATTTATAGGCAACATTTTAAAATCACATTTCATTGAAAACAATAAATATATAAGAACTTAGATTCTTTCCTTCTGTGGAAAAACTAGGCACTCTGAATATAGAGCCTGTGTCATGGTGTATAAAGAAATAACAGGAGCTGACTGGACTTTCCATAACCCACCAGACACTCTACCCTGGCCCACCCAACAGCCTTTCTCTGAAGGCTCCCTCTCCTGTCATACAAGGAACCCTTTCAAAAGTTCAGAAAGTTGCAAGCTGCAGTCTTTTTTGTTCCTTAAAAAAGAGGGGGAGAAAATCTCCTCACTTCCACAGGGACTCTGCTTATCACCCCTTCAGGGCACTTTCAGAGACTACTGAGAACAACGCTCAGGAAAGATTCCTTCTGAAACCCCCAAGCTGGGCCCTGAAGGATGGGTAGAAAGGGGGGACATTGCTCAAAAGAACATTCAAGAGTCAAGTGGACATTGCTAAGAGGAGCCAGAAAGATACAAAGTCACCCACAGGATGAGGGCTGTTCTACAAACTACACCTTGGTGCTGAACTCCTTCTCCCGCAGCAGCTGACTCAGAGAGGCAGTTTCTCAAGGCCTCAGAGTGTTTAGATCCTAGTGTTGCTCGCTGCTTGGCTAGGAAAGAGGGTTGATTTCAGAGGACCTTCTGAATCAATTTGGAAGATTAAACAAATAACTTTCTGTGGTTTCTTGGCCAGAAAGCCAGGAAACACTGAACTGCAAGAAGATAACTAAGTGGAACCCAGATCTCAAGCTCAGGACTATAAAGCTTTGTGGACTTTCTTTTTCAAGGAAGAGGTCACTCAGCGCTGTCCAGTGTAAATCATACAAAGGAGTGAAAAATCACTGTCTTGTCTCCTCAGAGTGACTGTTGCCAACAGCAGAGGAAAGGCTCAACTGAGAGCTCTCCCTGTCAGCTTCCTCAAGTCTGAAATATTTCTTCCAGCCTAGTACCACCATTTCTGAGAAGAGGGGCCTTTGAATGGTAGAGCCAAAGCAGCAGCCTCCATCACTAAGCACCAGCCACACAGATGCTAAAACGGGGCCCAAATTGCTAAGGCCTTGTGCCTACCTCATCATGCACAGGCCCAGAATGTGGCACACACCTCCTGTGTCAGTGTCAGAGACAGACCTTGCTGAAAATCTCTTGAGACAGAAATTAACTTGTCAATTTGACCCAAGAAGGTCTCTTGGGTTAGTATCTATATGTGGAAGGTGGCAGAACAGTACACAACATCACAGTGGCCTGTAGTAAGGTCTTGAGAAAGACTCAGCAAAGCCTTGGAGTCAGGTTGAGAGCTGGGATGAATTTTGGTGGGGAGAGGCCAGGTTTTTGTAGTCTCAGTATGATCAGTCATTGGCTGCAGGCTGAACTTGGGAAGAGTGTGTGGTTTCCTGGCAAGATGGCTCAGGTAGAGAAAATTCTCCAGATAGGTTAATAGCCAAGAGAAGCAGTTGGGAATTGACTCCTTCATTCCTGCGTAAGGAATAACCTCGGGCAGACATTACCAGCCCCACTTCGTGCAGGATTATATAAGTGGATTGCACAGATTGACTTACTGCCTTTTCTCTGTAGTCACAGGGCTTCTTTTTATCTTTGCTTTATAGACAAGGGATCTGAGAGGCTAGGTTCTTTGCAAGTGAGGAGTGGAACCAAGATTTGAAACTAAAGAATGTGTGTTATTTATGTTATGGAGTAGGGGAGAAGGCATTGGGGGAAAAGGATGGTAAGAGGGAAGAGTAAAACAAAAGGGAGAAGAAAAACAGTTTGAAAATGTCTGCAGGCAGCCCACAATCACAGCTGTAAATCTAAGGTAGCCCAAGAGCAATGGAGAACTCAAGATCTTCTAGTCAGTCTTTGGTTAGTTAAGCTAAGGGACATGCCCAATAAATCAGAAAAAGTCATGGGTCTGAGGAGGGCAGGCAAGAAAGAACATAGCATACCAGCCTTCAGACATCCCTATTTGTCTAAAATGAGAAGGGAACCATGACTTTTCCAACATCCAAATAAAGAAACTGAAGTTCTGTCATTCCAGAAATTGTTGCTGGCTTTTCAAACCCAAAGGCATTGCCCAGACTTTCCCTAAGCCCTTGACAACCCACTGAACTAGTTAAGTGGTTCCCAGAATTAATTCCATTGCTATTGTGAATAATGAGAGGTAATATCTTCCCTCTGAACTTAACTATACTGGCTTTGAATCATGGCCAGCCAAGAAGCCACTTTATACACTGTTAAAGCTATCATTCGCCCCAATAATTGAGTATGTTTCACATTGCAGGCCTCAGAGCCAAAAGCTAAGGAATCAAATAAAATACAACCTAACATTGCCCCTAAAAAGCTTGCAACTGTTATGAAGGACAAGGAAACATGAATATTTATATTACAACAAAAAGAGTGATAGCTACTTTGGGCAAAGAAAAATGCTCTCAGTATTCATAGAAAAAGAGTGAGAAGTTCAAGAGGAAAGCCTCGTGGAGATAAGTGAATTTTGACTAGTTCCTTGAACCACACAAAATGGTAGAATTCCAGTCAAGGAAATTAAAGAGTTGATGGGTTAGATACCACATATTGAGGGAGGTGAAAATCCCATACAAAACCAGAAGTGCCTTAGTTAGGATGAAACATGGAAAAGACAGAAAAGTCCAAAAGGCAGAATGGATAGTAAGTAGAAATCTTAAAAGTCAAGCTGAGAAAATGTCTGATTTTTGTTTTATAGGGGGGTAAGAAATGGATGCATCCGGATGAGCTCTGTAAAAACAAAATAGGATGGAAAGACTTCAAGAGTAAAAATAAGTCAGAAAATTATGGGAGTGGTTTGTGAAATGGGACTGGCTGGTCAAAGGCAGTAGAAATGGTGTGAGAGTCATAGAGCAGATGCCAGAAGGATGGACCAGGCAAGATCAGCAGAACTTTATAGTCAGCTGGGCATGATTGACAATGCACAAAGAAACATCAAAGAAGGTTGGTGGTCTTGTCCTTAGGAGATATGGGGAAACAAGAGGGCAGGTAAATTGGACCAGCAATTCTTCCTAGGTTCTAGGATTCTGATGGGGAAGACCAGGGATAAGAAGAGAAAGAGTCAAAAGCTGAGGTCAGAAGTACTGTGAGGGCTAATGACCCAAGCTAGAGAGTTTATGAATCACAGCTCCTTCTATACTCCTCAAATAAGGAAGCCGAAAACAAATTAATAATGCTCATGAGACAGCAGAATTATGGGGAACTCAGAGTAACTCTCATTCCTCTTTTGCAAGATAGATGCTGGTACAATAAGCAGAGCATTTTACATCTCTGTGTCTGGAACATTTGGCCACAGCTTTACAGGGAAACGGTCCAGCTCCAGGATCTGGCCTCAGTGGCCTCTATAGCCATGGCAATAGTCTATTGCTAGCCTTCCCAGGGACAGCCCTCACAGGAAACAAAGACCCAAAGCTCTTTGTTCCATACATAGGACCCCCAAAGGGCTGTTAATTCTATTTAGCCCCTGACAGGAAGATAGCAAAGTAAAAATTTTCAAAGGAGAAAAGGATATAAGAATCCATTTGTATAGGGAGTGATGAAACTTGAAAGCAGTATTGGACATACAAATGGCAGTTCCCAGCTGTCGTATTCTGTGTGAGTCCTGGTACCCAGGAGGTTCTTACTAGTGTTTGCAGAATGTAGAAAGGTGACACAGAGCATTAGATACAACAACTGCTAAGAGTTCACAAGAGAGGAAAAACCCCATTTGTGCAGCTGAAGGATGAAGAGAAAGATCCTCCAGGAGGCAGGAAATAAATATAAAGGCTGAGAAAAAGATGCATTCCTCAGACTGAAGAGACTACTAGCCAGATGATACGATTATATTAGAGAGACATAACAATGATAACTTTCAGAAAATATGTTACATAATATACTTAGGTGTCCATAGGGACAATTAGAAATTGGTGAAGGTCTTAGAATGTTTCTGGTTTTGTGAGAAAACACCATGACCAAAAGCAACTTGTGAAGGAAAGCATTTATTTCAGCATACAGCGTGTAGTTCATCATAAAGAGAAGTCATAACAGAAACTCAAGGCAGGAACCTGTAGACAGGAACAGAAACAGAGGGCATGCAGGATCATTGCTCACTGGATTGTTCCCTCATGGCTTCTCAGCCTGCTTTCTTATAACACCTAGGACCACCAGCCCAGGTATGGCACCACTCACAATAAGCTGAGCTCCCTTACCCCAAATTGCAATCAAGAGCATGCAGTACAGACTTCCCTACAGGCAAATTTTATGGAGGCATGTTCTCAGTTGAGAGTTCCCTCTTCCTAAATGACTCTTTTTTTTTACTCTAACTTTTGTCAAGCTGAAATAAAATTAGCTAGCACAGTCTTTGATTCTGGAAATGACATCAAAATGAGCTTTGGATACAATGACCTTGACAATGGTTAGTAGGAAGGCCTAAAAGAAAGAAGAGGGGCAAGCCTCCTGAGAAGCTGTTATACCTAGTCAACCATTTGCACAGTAGAACTGAAAATTGATGATAGGTGGTGAGGAATTCACTTAGGAAGAGTTGAACATGCAGTGAAATTAATTCCCTGGAACATTCCCCGTCTGGGAGACAGCACTGATGGCATCCTGAGAGACATAAACAAACATCTACCCCCAGATAGAGCACTAACAACAGGTCAAAAAAATGATCCTACCTAAGTAAGCCTTAGTGAACCAGTGAGTTTATTGGATAGTTGAGGGGCTACTCCATAAGTAGTCAACTCCTAGATGGCTACATCACTGAAAAGACCAGCCCAGTATGGTGATAACTCATGAAAACTGCATCCCTGCAACTCTCAGCTCCTCTTGCAGGCAGCCCAGCCATTCAAAGAGTCTCTTCTTCCCAGCTATTATCATTGCTTATGTAATCTTAGGAAAGGATCTTGTGACTCCTGTAACTTTCAGGAACTTCCTGTAAATTTAGAATCCCTGAACCTTGTGTATTGTGTTTATCCCTTGAGTCTTATTAGCCTATCTCTCTTCTCCACAGGAGGGAATGTTTTAATTCAGAGCAAAGAGGTATACAACAGCTTCCCTCTAAACAAACAAAACAAAACCAAAACAAAACAAGCAAACAAACAAACAAAAAAACCACAGAATGGGAACCTGAATCAGTAAGCTTTGATTCAGACAGATGGTAGAAAGTTGTAGAGTTTGGGGCTCCTGAGGAAGCATGAGAGCACAGACTTTAGCTGAAATGCTGCCCAAAGGAGGTGAAAGGCAGGTACAAAGACTGGGTGCTGAGGCAGGGAGAGACTTGCCAAAAGCACAAGTGCTTTATTCCAGTGAGATAGAGTGACAGAGACAGCTCTAAACCAGAAACCCAAAGCTTGACTAGGAGGGGTTCCACATTTGCCAAGGTGACCTTAACAAGTCTTCTGGGCTTCACAGATAACTAACCTGGAACCATTAACACAATAACTAAATTTCAGCTGATACAGGACAAGTGTATGTAGACCAGGAAAATTGTGAGCTTCCACTTGCTCACTTTTGTGTGGAATTATCAGCCTTAGCCACTCCAGTGGCCAGACCATGAGAGAAGGAGGGAGTATAGGACGTGGGTGGTAATCACTCACCACAAAAGTTGTAGAGCAATCTGAGAAGGAAATAGCATGATTTTCATGAGTCTCCTGCACTCGTCAAAATTCACTTCCTGGCGTGAAGTGTTTTTAGAATCTTTGCACCTTTTTCTAAAGAATGCCAGACGTGGCCCATGTGTGCTTCACCCCTGGAGAAGTTAAAAAAAAAAATTGGGAAGATATCTTTGTGTATTGAATCACAAGCTCTTCCAGGGCAAGAATAGGTCTTCATCTCTTTATCCCAGCATCGTCCTTACATAGACAAACTAACCCTCTATAGCCCATTGGTTCTATGGGGTCACACAGGACATCTATAGCTCAGAGCTAGTCTTCAATCCTGTTTAAAAAAAAAAAAGCCAGATTTCCATAGATGGATGAGACGCTGATAGGCTTAACTCTTACAGAGACAATGGGAGCCCACGATAGTAAGGTTGTTGGAGTGACATAGAAGCAACTTCACTGTGACCTCAAGGGATTGCCCTTGCCCTTGGCCTGATGCTTCTGACCCTTCACTGATTTCTCCCTCACTCCCCATCCTCCTATTCATGAATTTACACCTCCTTGCTTCTCACACACATTTTACACACGGCTTAACTTTCTTTCCTGTGAAAGGTGTTTCATTCTGCCTATACCCCCACAACCACTTCCTGTCCAATGCTTGGTATGTGTGTCCTTTCATCTACAAAGCCTACAAGAGTGAGTCGCCTTACAGGAATATCTCAATCTCTACTGTCCCTGCACTGTCCTGTTGCTTTCAAGCTTCTGTCTGAGAGTTATAACTGTTAACAAATATGCTCCCTCTCTCATTTAGGTCCACACATATTTAATTTTATAGGTAAGCAAACAAAAGTTCCTTCCCCCCAAGATATGTCTTACTATCAAGAAGGTGTTTCAGAAATATTTATTAAGTGAAAAATGAGCATCCATCATGATCATATAGTCATATCTGTCATCACCATGAGCTCCATCAACCTCTGTCTACTGATAAAGGCAAGATTTGTACCAGAACTCTCTCTAGTACATAACTGGCCCTCAGTGATTCTTTAACAAAAAGTTATCTTCACACGACCAAAGAATCTACCTGACTTCATAAGAAAATCGTGATTCTAGGAAACGTTGCAATCTCTGTTCTTTGCAAATTGGCCTCAAAACCCTGCGGCTGCAGCAGCAACAGCAACGTGACTGTCTTTTCTTTCCTTTTCTTCTGTTCTTAGATCTCTCCCTTCCTGTCTCATGCCCCAAGCTTCAGTCTGAGGTTGTTCAGTTTCTCGGAGAGGGAGGGAGGGACAGAGTGAGGGAAAGAGTGAGGGGGCAGGGAGAGAGAGACTAGATGTGATTTCTCTCCAGCTGTTTCTGCAGCTCCCAACCCAATCTTCAGAATGCAAGGAACGCTGTCTTTCTGTCATTTGGCCTCTGTGAGGATTCTTGCCCACTTGCCAGAAAGGACCAGCCACCTGCAGTTGATGAATCCTCTGGCCTTGTCCCAGACAAGCCGCTTTATTCCCAACAAAGTCAGCGGGCATCCAACTGTCAGGCCTGACTGCTGGGACTTTGAAATGAGCACTTTGTCATGGAGGTGGTGCTCCTGATTGAGGGTGCCCTGCTGTGTTTTTCAGGCTGTGGTGGTGACTGATGGAGAGCGCATACTGGGTTTGGGAGACCTGGGCTGCTACGGCATGGGCATCCCTGTGGGCAAGCTGGCCCTGTACACAGCATGCGGAGGGGTGAATCCACAGCAGTGCCTTCCTGTCCTGCTAGATGTCGGCACCAACAATGAGGTAACAGGCTGCCTGAGCCAGGAGCTCTTGGGCCAGATGAGGTTGGGGGGTGGCACACTGGTGGAATAATTATATCCACATGGTCTGTTTCTTTTCTAGCATCCTCTTGTTCCCCACTCTTCCCACGCAATTATGAAGTAGAGGACTTTCCTTTACCAGTTGCTCAACTCTCCCACTCCTTTCTCCTTCTGAGTCCCCTATCTTTTTCATTTTCTCTTCTGTGCTCGAGATGCCCTGGACTTACTTTTTCTGTTGCTTCCAGGGTCCCATGCAGTTTGCAATCTTCCTTGGGTATACTCACTGAGAGCGCAGCTAGTGATAGGACTAGTCTGTGTTCTGCATTCTCAGTACAAGTTGCTTTAGTGTGTGATCCAAAATTCAAAAACAAGGCCACAGGTGAAATGTCTGAGACAAGCTGGTGAACGCCCTGCAGATCAAGTGAGAGAAACTGAGGCAAGCTAGATCACCCTGCAGAATTCAAGGGCTTTCTCACTAAAGGAGTTCCATCCTCACTCAAGGGTTTGTCTGCTCTGGGTACCACCCTGGCACGTTGCTTCTGCCTGCAATTCTTGGTCCTGTGCTGGCAGAAAAGAAGTGTCTTAAGAATTCCTTCTCTCTTTTTTGTATCAAATTTGTTTGCTTAATTCAAAAATTTGAAACAATTTAGTTCTGCTTTTGACAAAGGAAACAAAATATATATCTATCCAATTGTCATGTTTTGAAAATTATAATTGTAACTAAATTGTAATATATGAACAATGAGTTCCACTCTATTTTCACAGAGGAATTCCTTCTAAATAACATTTATTTTTGAGTTTAAGAGCAGTGTGTGTTTGTCTTTTAAAAATTAAAATTAAAATCATAGATGTATTAAAAGTAAAATATCAGTCATATGATCAGTGCTAATTTATATGCACATATGTGCATATATGTGCATATGCATATATATTGTATTTTTATTGGATATTTTATTTACATTTCAGATGTTATCCCCTTTCCCCATATATATTGTATTTTAATATCTTTTCTTACAGCCTTTTTCTCCCAAACCTTTACAAAAACCAATTTGGAGTTACATTGCATTATGATTCCTAGCCTGCTTTTTTGAAATTTGACAAGTTTCCTCTCACATCCTTACCGTTACTTTACTGTGCCACATTAGTGGCTGCATGCTTTACCACAATTCATGTAAGAAAGCCTGACCAGCTGTGTATTTAGGTGTTTCCAGACTTCTTACAAAGATCAACTGTGTTCTGATACCCATTTTTTGGATCAGTCGTTGATTACTGCTAATTGGAGTTAGTTGTCTAGAGTCACAGGATGGGTATGTGTACTGACTGGGAGAACAGTACAAGGAGGCCAGAGGAAAACCTTTAGCACCATTCCTCCTCCAGCACCTTGCTGTTTGAGACAATCTCACACTGGGACCTGAGATTCAGAGATTCACGTGGGTGGACTGGCTGGTGAGCTCCAGGGATCTGCCAGTGGGCTTCCCCAGTGCTGGGACTGCAGATGTGCCCTGCCACGCCCAGCTGTTTTTTTCTGGTTGCTGGGGAACTGATCTTGGATCCTTTGCTTTCCTATCAAATTCTTCACTCACTGAGCTGTCATCGAAGCCCCTGTTGCTCAGATTCCTGATTCACATGCCAAAAAGGTTACAGCCATGTGCACTCCACAATGATTTATTTCAAGAAAACTGCTTTCTTCTTCCTTAGACACCATGGTCTGGTTTCTAAACAAGAGTGAGCATTGTCAGGAAGCAAGGAATGCAGCTTCCTCGGATTCCACCCATAGATGCTCCTCCCTGAATTGAAGGAGCCTGAAAAAGACCTTTCTTGAAAGCCAGAAAATCATGGGGTAGACAGTGGCAGCAAGAGAGGTGGGGAAAGATTGAATTCAGAAGCAGGGGCCCTGGCCCCAGTACCACCGTAAGCCAGATGAGTCACTGCAGCTCTCTAGACCTGATCCCCTACATAATTATATTGCCATTTTAAAACCTCTTCTTGCTCTGCCTTCTGACTAGCCTATGAGACAAGGTCTGGGTGGTAGTAGAAGCCCTACAGCTGCTCAACAAGACCAGACCTTAAATTTTGCTCTAAACCAAGTTCCTTTCCCCTGGCCAGATGTTTGAGTTTATACCAAAAAAACAAAAAACCCAACAACAACAACAACAACAACAAACAAACAAACAAACAAAAAACATTAAATCTGTCCTCAGCCTCAAAGAGGACATCATTGCCTCTGGAGATGAATACAGAAAACCTTATTTCAGGCAAGCTACCAGCATCCTCTGCTGTGTTACAAATAGATTTCATTGATGCCTTCACCCTGTCAGTGCCTTAGAAGCTGGTCCTGAGCTGGAACAGAGACAGCCTAAGTTTAATTTGAGCTATTATATCTCAGGGATACTAGTTGCCTCTAGTAGGTTTGTGGAGATCCTTTGCTGTTGAAGGTCCAGTATGCACCAATCCAAATGAAGCTCTAGGCCAACCTCAATTGTAACAAATCTATCAGGAAGGATTTCCAAAAACAAGTGGCCAGCATGGACCAGGACCTTACACTTAATTTGAGCATCATAGCAGAGAGTGAAGGCCCTGTCACTGCCTTCTTTTTCCCTTCAGGAAGCCGAGGCTCAGTTTTAATTAGATCAAATGGACTCTAACCAGAGCTGAGATCCTCTGTAGCACACCTAAGCTGGCATTTTGTTGTTTCCTAAGTCAATATCATCTCTTGACTTTTATTACTAAAGTAACTTTAGAATGTTATTCAAATTCTTAAGGTAAATGGCATTTCTCCCACAGTGCTACATTTGTGGACCCTTTTCAATATTTATCTATGACATATGCACCTATAGATGTATATATTACTTATTACTTAGTAATCATAATGCACCTGTAATTTTGTTCTCATTTTTTTTCAATTGAGGTTATTTGTGAACACTTTCTCTTTACTTATTTAATCAAAGTTTATTGAGTGTTTAGTAGGTGTCAGGCATTCAGCTAGGCATGAGGGAGCTCAATGAGCCAGACTTGGGTGGAATAGTCTGGTTGTTGGTGTTCCAACATTGTCACATAATGGATCATTTTAATGAGTTGTGTATTACATATACTTAAAGTGTCTGCTTCTCCCCTGAGTGTTTTGCTCCAAGCATGAGAATCCAATGCTGCCAAGTGAACCAGTATTAGAGAGACATGATTTATCCCCCTTCAAACGAGTTAGCTGTGTCATTTCCCATAGTACAGCTCTTGGTTAAAAATGCATCTGTTTGTAAGACATGCACAATGACAACACCAGTTAAGATGCCAATGTGAGTTAGGGAAATTTCCCAAGACCCCACCCATAGATGAAGAACTACAGGCAATTAAAGGCTGCCAAGAGTGAGAATCAGTCTTCTCTAGGGACAAGCTCTCTGGTAGGTTATCCAATTCCAAGTGTGGTCAGTCCTAATTACAAGTACATATAAGCACAACACTAAATGAACCCTGGTGAAAACATACATACATACATACATACATACATACATACATAATACATGTCTATGTGTATCTATATATATATATGGTTATATATATGATTAAATATGAAGTTGAGCTCATTAAGTGGAGAGTTGAAGGGAGCTGGGTTTGGAGATGGGAGATCAAATGATATAAATATGATACTGGTGTATAAAATTCTCCAAAACATAAAATAAGTGTGATTTTCTTTGCTGAGAGCAATTTTCAGCTGTAGGAGAGGAAAACTTGGCCTTATCACTTCCACTGCCTAACATAGTCCAGGGAGGATGCTGCTGTGAGGTGTTCTAATGTCCAAACAACCCAACTATCGGTGTGGATGCCTCTATGAAAAAAAAAAAACCCTCCCAAGGCAACAGCAATTTAATCAGCAGCGTCAGACCCTCCCTCTGAGCATCCTGTTGAAGGAAAACATGTGCTGTCTACACCCCTGAGCCTGAGTCACTTTTACCTGCCAACACCAAGGACGTTTGGAAAAATAAACATATGGAACAGTAATTCCATGGTGGGGGTTGGGGGCAGACACCCCAGGTTCTACTCAGGAGACAGAAGACTTGTGCTCATGGCTGTGTATAGATGAGACCAACCACAAGATGGTTATATCATCCAAGCAGAAGGGAACAGAAACAGTGTCTTATATAATTCCTTCACTCTTCATAGGAAAAGCAGCCCAGAACACAAATGGCTTCCTAAGGATTCCTTCCAAAACCCTACTCACATGGCACTCTACAGTGAGGTTCTTTGGAGCAGCCCAACAGGCTTGGCTCCCTAGTTTCCCTCCTGAGTCTGAGAGTCTTCTGCTCTCCAAAATCCTGAACCTGTACTCATCTCTGAGGGAGATGCTATGTGGCCCTCTGGAACCTACTCTGTGGCTGAGAATGTCGGCATCTGCAAATAGACTCAGGTGAAAATTGACAGCGGAGCCAGAAACCATGACTTTGAAGACTTGGTGGGAATGAACAAGAGTCAGCTGCTGTATGCTGAGATTTGCAGCGTCTTCTATTTTACAAGCTTATTGTCTCCATGGCTAGAATACTCAGCTTCATCATGTGGTATTACCAGAGAGCTCACTCTGCATGAATGTTTGAGGATGCCGCCCCCAGAGCCTTTGCAGCTTTCTGCTAGCTTAATTTACCTTTCCAAGATATGAGCAATAGGCATAAGGGAAGGGTGCAATGGCCATGGAGTGGACCCCATGCCATGACCTCCCAGATACACAGGTGTTTCGCATGACCTCTGCAAGTGCCTGTTGCTAGTCAAGGTAAATATTTTTTTCAACCAGGAGATGTATTTTCCAACTTAAGTACAACCCTCTGTGATATGTCCAGAGGAGAGGAGGAAAACCTATTTGTTTTCCATAATACTTTGTCTCTAAGGAAAATCTTAGGAAGGAGAGCTAGGCAAAGAACCCCAGAGAGTGTATCCAACCCTCCAACTCCCACCACACAGGAAGAAGTAACAGTTTGCCTTCTTTGGGTAAATTCCTTCACCTATAATTCTAATCACTGACTAATTCTGTTCTGATAAGAACTTAGTAACCATCTAACAGAGAGAAAAGATTTAGCTACCAAGAACTACTTAGATACCAGAGTACCTTGCGCACACCAGAGCTTGGGAATGAATAAATTCAGTTCCTATTCTGTTCTAAAATAATGACTTCCTTCCTTCCATTCTGACCAGTGGGTTTTGTGACCTGAGACAGCTCATGTCACCTCTGTAACCCTCAGAAATCCATTGGGAGGAAGCTGAAGTGAGTGACTTCCAATTCCTAAATTTTAACTCTGACATCTTAGCTCAGTGGTGATACACTGGCAACTGGTATCAGCTAACACACTTCACAGATTCTCTGTGTGCTGGCACTGTGTGATTGATCTCTGGGGAGATATAAATGAAGAAGGAACAGATCATTCCTCAAGAAACCACATTATGTGACAGGAATCATTGTTGTCTCTTTTCAACAGACAGGAAAATAACAAAAAGAGAAAAATTATATTTCTTGCCCAAAGCCTCTGGCTTAAGTGACAGGATGTGAATTCAAATTCAGATTCATCCAATTCCAAAGCCCAAAAACCCAGACCTGCTGGACCTTGGCAGCTATTACTAAACTCTCCTGCCATGAAACAGACAGACGGTGAGGACAAGAAGCTGATGCTTTGTTCCTTGGTCCCCACAAGATCAGGTGATAGGGAGGAAAGGACCCTACCATGAGAACCAGTCAGAGCAAGGCTCGGTCTCAGGCACTTCCTCTTGGCTCTGGGAGTTTGGGCAGTTTATTTAAACCACTGTGCTCCAACATCCTGATCTGTAAACAGGAATGAGACAGCCGGGCCCTGGATTGATCCCGTGAGGACAATTCTTCTTGTAAGCGCTACGTTTGTCTTTAGTGTCGTCTCTGTGTGTAATTTTTCCCATTTTTGTAGTTAGTTTTGAAGTATTTAAAGCATGGAACATTTTGTTATTAAAAAAAATAAAATATAAAGATGCCCTCAAAAGGTTTTTAGAGTAACTATTCGTTACTTTTCTTGTTCATCTATAGATAACTAAAAGAGATGATAAAAGGGAGGATTTCTTTTGTTTTGAAAAGGAACTTGTCCATCATGAGGGAAGTCATGGAGGCAGGGCCTTATTATATAGCATCAGTCATCTGGGCTGCAATATGAGTCTGGGTCAGTGGATTAAATAGTATGTCAAATCTTACAGACGAGCAAATGAACCATCAAAGACACATGGCTCAGAGTTCAGAGCACTCTGAGGTGAAATACTGACTGTTGCTCTCACTAACCAAAGGTCTTAGGGAAGGTGGCTTAGCCGCTCTGTGTCTTGCTGCCTCATTCATAACATAGGGGAATAATAAATAATGAAACCCATTTCTCAGGACCTCCCGGAAGTATGTGGGTGAGAGCTTCATAAAGGGAAACTCCAGAACAACGAAGGAAGAGAGAAGGAGCAGTTGGAGGTCAGGGCCTTCAGTCTATACAATGTTGACAAGACTCTCATAGGAAGAGGGAAGGAAAGATGGAAAGTTAAGAACTCTGCCTGCAGTACAGCCCACAAGAATCTAATTAACAGGCTAATTACAATTCTCCAAGCAAAGATGATATCAAATGGCCTCATTTTGGAAGGATGCTCTGCCCTAATCCTCCTCACCCCTCATCTCATGATTAAGCGATCTGGAGAGACTATGGATGGGTGATGGTCCTTTGACTGCCCTCCTGGATCTGCTTAGAGAGTTCAGAGTCTTCCTGTGGCTGTGGTGGAACCTGCCTCAGGATGGGGCACATCAAAGACTTTAAGAGCTAGAATGCTTGCCACCATTTATACCAGGTGTTGTCATTCATAAAGCTTCTCTCGTATTCTCTCATGCAATCACCATAACCAGAGTGTGGCTCCACTCTATCTCCATTGGACAGATGACAGGAAGACTCTGGGAGGTCATAAAAGCTTTCCCAAAGTCACAACTGTCTGTCATGGTGGAGGTAAAACCTGACTCACGTCCCCCTTATTTTCATATCCTGCAACAACAGCTCAGACAGGGATAACGAAAAGGATTTGTCAGTGAGCTCTTGCTCTGGTTGTATTAGACACAATAACGCAAAATTCCAAGAGGCTATAGTAGATGGTTATTTCCCAAACATGCTAGCCACCTTTCCCTCACTCGGCCTCCAGCCTCCAACCTTCCTTTGTGCTCACCCTGTCTTGAAACCCAGATAATCTGTTAGAATCTGACCATCTTTTCAGGTCTGACCATTTTCCCCAAAATACATTCTCAATTCACATTTCAAGTTGCTTCTCCACACTGTGATCCTGTTCTACACTACTTCCCAAGGCAGTGCCATCTGTCTCTGTGATAGTTTACTCACCCACACCCTCAGTAGATTGTGAGCACCTTCTAAGAATCAGTCATTCTCACTGATCATTATCACACTCCAGGCTGCAGTCAGGAGTGACAATGTTCAGTAAATACATGGCATTTTTATTCCATGAGTTGCACATACATTGACACTGTCTTGTTTATTTTTTAACTTATTTTAAAATATTGTAGATTCACTTGCACTACTCAGAAAAAAAAATCACAGAGTTTTAATTACTTTTTGTTGCTGTGATAAAATACCATGACCAAAAGCAACTTTGTTCCAGAAGGCTAGAGTTCATAAAGGTAAGGACAGCATGACATGGCATGGGGGCGGGGCAGGAAGCCAGCTGATCACATTTGATCTGCACACAGGAAGCATGGAAAGAGAAATAGGAAAAAGAAACTCTGTTGTGTTTTATAAAAATAAAGAAAGAAGGAATGTCTGATGGATGTGTAGTCAGGTATGGGAGAAGGGGGTGCCTCTGAGGGCCCATGCTGAGGCATCCCTTCCCCCTGAGGAGTGATAGTATAGATAGAGTTTATTCAGGGCATGGGGAGGGTAGTTGAGAGGGTAGTAGAGACAGAGAAAGGCAGAGAGAGAGAGAGAGTAGAGAAGTAGAGGCCGGCCATGAGCACATGGAGAGAGAGGGGGAGGGGAATGGGGAGAGAAGGAGAGCAGGAGAAAGGAGACAGAAAGAGAGAGAGTAAGAGAAAGAGGAGAGGATGAACAGCCCCTTTTATAGTGAGTCAGGTATATCTGGCTGTTGCCAGGTGACTGTGGTGCAGCACCTAGACAAAATGCTAGCAAACATGAATATAGACCTTCAAATCCCAACTGCAATGATGTACTTCTTCCAGCAAGTTTTCACTTCCTAAGGATTCTACAACCCCATCTCCAAATTCACTACCAACTGGGGACCAAGTGTTCAAACCTGTGAGCCTATATGGGATTCCTCATTCAAATTACCACATGCCCCTATACCAACTTCCCAGTTATCTTCAGTTGTGGCAGTTCAGCTCTATACCTTGTATAGATTCCTTTATCACTAAGGCAATTAATCTATGGGAAAGTTTTATATAGAGGTACCTCATACTACCCTTTTATAACCATACCCACATTCCCTCTTCCTCTCCCTAACTCTGATGATTGGTCTCTATGTCTATAGTTAGGTTATTTCAAGGACACTATATGGATGAAATCAGGTGGCATGTAGTCATTTCACATCATATGTCTTGAGATTTGTCTAGATTTGACAATTAACAGACATTATAGTTTTTCAGCAGTTTTTTTTACTCTTATATGATGAAGTTTCAATGGATATTAAAATAAATGAATTAATAAATAAATGTATTGTGTATGAATTAACCTGCTGACCCATAGGGATATGGATAAAATAGGAAGCCCAGTGGGAGAAGCTAGTCAGACCAATGCAAACAAGAAAAGACCCTATGTGCATGTGACTGCTGTGAGACAGGGCTAAGATGAGCATCAGTTTTCACTGAAATTACTAGTTTTGTTATTCTACCTTCATATCCCCAACACCTAGCAATGTGTGATGTATGTGGAAGGTAAGATTTTATTTAAATTAAGATGAATGAATGTTTCATAAGTTGTTTTGGGGGCAAGATCTTTGGATGAGATCCCCACTCACCAATGGAGATGCTACCCTCAATTGGCTTCAGAGATTCTCAACCAAGAGTGTTTCTACCTTCAAGAATATCTGCTGCAATGTCTGAAGACATTTTTATGGTCACAAGTGGAGGTATTGCTGGATCCTTGTGAGTATAGGTTGGCAATGCTGCTAAATAGCCTATAATGTACAGGTTATCTCTCAGATTAAATAATAATCCAAGCTAAAGTGTTAATAGTGACATTATTTTAAAAATCCTGAAATAAACCCAAAGCTTACAGCCAGAGCTTGAAAAAGTGTCCAATGGAGGCTCAGCTACCCCAAAGCATTGTTCATTCCTAAAAATAGGATTTCACAGGAATCCACCCTTAGACAGGGACTTGGTTTCCAGACCCTTCCAAGGATTACCCTTCGGCAGTAGGGAAACAGAGGCAGAGTCCTATGCTCTTCTCTCCGCCTAACTCCAGTCCTTCCCACTAAACCTGGACTCTTGTTTTACAGAAACCAATAATACAGCAAGAAATATGGAGTTGGTCTAGTATGGAGTGGGTCTAGTAAGTGGATGCTCTCTATTCCAGGAGCTTCTCAGAGATCCTCTGTACATCGGCCTGAAACACCAACGTGTTCGTGGGAAGGAGTATGATGACCTGCTGGATGAATTCATGCAGGCTGTGACAGATAAGTAAGTGGACCATGGTGTCCCTTTTGGAGAGAATGCCTAAGAAGTGTCATGACAAAGACAACCCAGGCTTTGGAAGAATTACAAAAGAGACTGTAAATTAATGCTTTAGGGGTAGTCTGAAAATTTCAACTTGACTCATGCACTTGAAAATGTGGAAGTCATGTGGACCCTTCTCCAGGGTAGCCTTCAAGAAGGCACTGTGATATGGAGTTAGCTAAGTTTCTGTTGTTCCAGGAAGGAAATCTTCTTGGTTTGAGCTGCTCAGAATAGTTTTCATGAATACTAACACTGTTCTTCTGATGAAAAGATGTTACCCTCCCAATGAAATTTTAAAGTTCACCATGTTTGTCTTCACACACACCCTCACCCCGTTAAGTCAGGTTAGGGGGATGTTAATAGGCCAGTGAAGCCGATTCAGCTCTGCCCTCCATTCTCACCCATTCTGACAGTCACCACGGCCACCCCGACCTGCTGGCATACTACAGCAGAGAGTTCCAGTAATGCTTTCTACATGCTGGACAAGCCAAAATTTCTACAGTTCAGTGGACAATGAACACAAAACATTTCCTTCTCCCTTGAAAAGAGATAAAATTATATTTTGGTTCAATGATATGGGACTAAAAACAAAAAAAAATCATGATGGGGCACAAGGTGGAAGCAGAAGCTTGAGTAAGCTAGAGGATCAGGGATCAAATGCATACCTGGAGAATCTTAGGTCTTGAAAGACAGAGTATAACATAGGAAGAAAGTGAAGGCAGAACGGGGTAGGTGAAGAGAAGTGACAAGACAGATGGATCAGGCTTGGGGTTTTTCTAGACAAGAAGGGAATTGAGACTGTATTCAAGGGAATGTTCAAAATGTTGTCCTAAAGATCTAGGCTGAAGAAGAAAAATAAGGACATGGGGAAGCAGGAAGTAGGGAAGGAATGGGGAAAGTAAAGGATAAACCATAAGCCCTAGTGAAATTTGAGAATCATTGCATTGGCTACGAGGCAGAATAAACCGGTTGAAAGGAAGTGATGCTCTGAAAGCTCTATGTTTATAGTCAAGTTATAGAGGAAATGCACCACTGGGCTGTGGCCACCAAAGAAGCTAATTCACAAATTGGTTCATCTGGAACTGAGGGAGATGATTGCCACTTCATTCTTCCTTTCTAGACTATCTTAAATGCCATCTTCAAGACCAGACAAAAGATGCTAAGGGCCATAAATTATTTAAAGTACCTTTAAAGAACAATAGCAATGACAGTTCAGGGAAAGGAAATGCTTGACTTGGTTGTGAGAAGGCTCAGAGGCTACTCTGTATCAAGTAACAGAACTGCTCTGGACGTTCTTCCAGTAGAAAATTGGACTTGCTTCTATATGACCAAAAGAAGGACCAATGGGTGCAATGCTAACAAAGGCCCTTGTAGGCAGGCACAAAGTAAGTGCCACAATACACTGAATTCAAGTAAATGCCACAATACACTGAATTCTGGATATGAATTCTCTGTCATGGACGGAACTCTAGGATATGTTGTTTGGTGTTTTGGTGGTGATCATATGAATAGGTTCAAGCTGCACATGCTCTTGAATATGTCTTCACACTCCATTACTCTAGTTTGACCTCTTAAGGATGCCATGCAGCTGGCAGGCTAGGTACTACCATGGCCACTTTCATGGAAGGAAAAGTTGAGGCCTCAAGATGACAAAGTCACTGTCCCAGTTCACAGAGTACCTTGCAAGACTGTGAGGTGAACCCACTCCACATGCAGGATGTTTTCTATGATGCTTTGTGACCTGACCAAAAGGGAGTGAAATTGCTTTAGAGAGCCTATTTTTTGCTTCCTGTTTCCAGGGCTAATTGCTGGCTTATGAGTCAGTAGCCATTCCATGATTTCTCCAAAGAGAAGTCTTGCTATTCATGTGAGAAGGTTAAATAAACTAGGATGTATGAGGCTCTTCAACTCGTCATCAAAATCAATTCATAGCTCCACAAACACACAGGCAGTCCAGGGTGAACCCTTAGGGAAGGGTGTGCATCAGCCAACAGGAATGTGTCCTTCAGTAGAAGAGACGATGGTTTGGCAAGTCATTGTTTTGACTTTCTAGCAAGCTAGAACAGATGTTTCTATAGATACTGTAGGAGGAAAATGAGCTGGTCTCCCCCAGGTACTGCTGGGAATGTAGTCTGAAGATAGATTGCCTGGTCTAAGGGTGAGTCAGAAGCTCTAAAGGCAAGCACACTGTATTTTAAGAAAGACCCAGGATAAACTGTGACTCCTGCCTTCAAAGTCCACATCCCTGCCCAAACATCCTGCCATTAGAAGGCTTCCTCTTTTATTTTTCTCTTACAAATTGACCTGTCTATAGATTCAGAGTGGGAAGTATTGATAAGGCTCAGATCCTATCCAGAAGGTTGGCTACTGGAAAAAGACACACCAAGGCAAAAGAATGTACAGTTAAGTCTGTGAACTAAAAAGGCTGGGGAGAAGCTAGGTTCGTAGAGTGCTCAGTGACCCTGTGCTCAATCCCACACACCTGTAATACCAACATTTAGGAGGTGTACGCATTCCAAGCAATAGTCATTCTAGCTTTCCTTATCTCCCTCTCATGTGGTAGGACCTGAAGCATCATATCTGAGTACCACATCCTGATGTACCAAGTTCTCCTCAGTGGTTTTTGTTTATATGTCTTACTTCTGTTACTTACAGGGAATTCTCTAGTTTAACATTGCACCTGGAAACCCAGCTCCGTCTAATTTAAACAATGTCTGGTGTTGCCCGCAGCTTCCACCTCTAGGCAGGCCAGGAAACAAAGTCACCTCTTTTCCTTTTAGTTCCACAAATTTTAAGGCATTTGGAGGCAGGATGGGGGTGGGGGTTGTCGAGACAGGGTTTCTCTGAGTAGCTCTGGCTGTTCTAGAACTCACTCTGTAGACCATGCTGGCCACAAACTCAAAGAAATCCACCTGCCTCTGCTTCCTGAAAAGGCATACACCACCATACCCAACCCTAGTTCCACAATTCTAAATCTATGGATTCTTAAGATGTGTGGGTTCAAGTAAAAAGGAAAGCACAATTGTAAAGACCTTTATAGTATAAAGGAAGCCATCTATCTCCATGAAAGGCATATCTTTTTCCTCTTCTTCTCTTCTCCTTCTTCTCCTCCTTCTCCTTCTCCTCCTCCTCCTCCTCCTCCTCCTTATCCTTCTTCTTCTCCTCCCTCCCTCCCTCCCCCCCTCTCTCTCTCTCACACACACACACACACACAAACAGATACACATGGTTCACAGCATAATAGAAGTCACTATTCGCAATTAATGATCTTTGCAGATAAGTTATAGTTAGAGACAGCTCTGGATTTCCCATTCCTGAAGCAAACTACTCCATAGGTTCATTTCTAATGCTACCTTTCAAGCTTGATATGCACCCTTGGTCTTCTAGAGCCAAGTTCCTATGCTCCATCATACATTCTCAGTGCCCTTTCAAGCTAAGTGGGACCTCCCCATCCCAGGTCCCCTCTATAGCTCACCCTGTTTCTGCCCTTATGTTTGGAGGGTGACCCAAAGGTTTCCATTCAAAAATAAGAAAAGCACCACCTATTGTCTCTACTGTGCCCTGATCAAATTGAGAGTGAACAAAGAAAGATGAGTCCCAGGGTAGTTAAAAGTTCCTGGTAAGTCACAATTTTGAGTAGTCTCGAAAACAAACAAAAACACACCAGACTGCTGGGACCCATAAGGTCCAGACATCCTCAGTTCTGTCAACCTGCAGTCACTGAGTAGAAGGTCTTATGACTTGTGTCTTTCAGTTTCTTTTCCCTGAAAATAGCTAACTAAACTGGCACCTAGGTATCTGCCATTGGAGAACAGAGGAAGAGAGTGGGGAAGCAACTTCCTGGAGAAGGTAGTGAAGTGCAAGCTTCCAATGAAAGCAGCTCTACCCTCTTAGGTGGCTTCAGTCTAACCCAATGGTTCTCAACCTGAAGGTCATTAGTCCTTTGGGGGTTGAATGATCCTTTCTCTGGGGTTACATATCAGATATTTACATTATGATTCATAACAGCAAAATTATAGCTATGAAATAGCAACAAAAATAATTTTATGGTTGGGATCACCACAACGTAAGGAACTGTAATATATATGTGTGTGTGTGTGTGTATATAGTATATATGTGTATATATATGTGTGTATATATAATATACACACATTATATTATATATTATATATTAATATATATATATTATATATTAATATATATTAATATATATGTTTATATGTATATATGGTTGTACATATATATATGTATAAACATGTATAGCTATGTGTATATGTATATATAGTTATACATATATATGTTTGTACATATGTATATATGTATACATATATGTATACTCACATATATATATATGTACAGTCATATATATGTATGTGACTTATTGAAATTAGTGAGTCATCAAACAAAAGAAGAAGAAATGAAGCTAAGAGGGAAACATGTTGGGTACATATGAGGAAAGTTAGAGGGAAAAATGAGGGTAGATATTATCATATTTCATTGTATATATGTACAAAATTCCCAAGAATAAATAATATATAAATAATGATATCTGAAATTGGCACAGTAGAACTTTAACCATGTTATGCTAATTAAACCAAATCACAGGTACATACTGAGTTCCCAAAGAGAAGGTAACATAAAGGTATAAATACCAGACACAGTGGCTTAGAGCCTACAAATGTAATAGACTACTACACCCCATCATTCTGTGAAAGACAAGGAATAAGGCACACAGAAGTATAAAAGATACTCAGTTAATCCAAGGTAATGGCAGAATTACATATAAAACCAAGGAAATATATGAAATTAGTTGGACAATGGTGGCCTATGCCTTCAATCCCAGCACTTGGAAGGCAGAGACAGAAGGATCTCTGAGTTTAAGGCCAGCCTGATCTGCAGAGAATTCCAAGACAGCCAGGGCTACACATAGAAAAAAGTGGGAGGAAAACAGCAAGCTATTCAGT